TTGCTCTGGCCCGTGACACTGGCCCATACATTACTGACACTGCCGAGTGGTTTACAGTACAATGAGGGGAGACACCTGTGTTTAATTCGGCGTACGCGTGATCCACTAACAACCACGTATTTTAATGACAAATCTTGTTTTTTCCATCTATTGCCACGGTCTTGTCCCACTGAAATAGTGAGGCTGGTAACGAGTTGATGCGACAAAGTCGGCCAAAAGTTGGTATTTATGTATTATATTGATGCCGAATTAACAAGAAGACTGTTGAGATATGATGGGTTTTTCTTGTGTTTCTACAGTTATGTGCTTTTATGTAAGCGCAAATAATTGTTAATATATGGTATTTCTTAAATGGAGTTTGGCATAATATTGTCCTGGGATAATGCAGGAAGGGTCATAGTTTAATTAAAATTGCTAAAGTAACTAAATAAGTAATAACCACAATGGTGGGAATAATAAGTATGTAGTTATAATAATAATGATAATAATAGTAATAATAATAAGAACAATAATAAGTAATGCTATCAATAATATGAATAACAATATTTATATTAATAAATAATACATAATTAAGAAAGCAAACTATTCTTACTGTGCAGTCATAGTGCAGTTACAACAGTCTGAGTGTCTTCTTCCTCACAAAAATAAATTTAACTTGATGTTTTATTACATTACTGAATCTGTATTACTTGTGTAATGTGTAACAAGTTGAAATAGATGGCTAATTAAGAATTTCAGTGTCTTTTGTGACGTTTAATTAGCACAGTAATCCTTTGTCCTCTCTAGCTAGCGAGTGCTAGCACATTCATACCTTGTTCTGTCTAGCTAGCTTGTGCTAGAACATTAGTAGCTTATCCTCTCTAGCAAGCAAAGCATTTTAATTAATTAGCTAGCCTTCTAATACCTTCTTCTACCTTCCTAATTCTCTTTAGCTAGCTAGAAGCTAGCACACATAAACACATTAACCAGAGCTAGCGCTTAGCTACGTGCTATTCGCTAGCTAACATGCTAATCGCTAGCTCTGCGCTAATCGCTAGCTGAGCACTAGCTTTGGTTAATGTGTTTAATTGTATTATGCTCCTGAAGGAGTGCTAATGTAAATTAAGGAACAGCTCATAGTAGGGTAACATATTTAAGGTGTATTGTTCTTATTTTGTGTTAATATTAAAATCATTCAGCTTTAAATTGTTTGTTTGTTAGCCACCTGCTAATTATCTTTAGCTAGCCAGCTAGCGCTAGCTTATTAATAGCTTAAATGCTCCTCTGAAGCTAGCTGTGTGTGTGTGTTTGAGCAGGCTTTGGTTGTCATGGCAATCAGGGGAGCCCACAGCAGCTGCGCACGCTCTCTCTCTGTCTCTAACTCCTCAGAGAGACAGAAAACATTTAAAATGAATCCCCTCAAAAGCATGGCCAGGAACGACCGAAAAGAAAACCGAAAACACCGTGGGCGTCGTCATCTTGTTGACTATAGCACTGCCGAGTTTCAGTGGTTAAAGTTAAAAAATGTGACCTAAAGGAGATTGAGAGAGAAGAGGTTCAACGAGCGTTTTTAAGATTCCTCCTCTAAAATTAACATGGGAGTAGATGGGGCCGTGAGAGGGAGTTGCTGGCGCATCAGTGCGTCTCCCGCCAAAACTATTTGTCTGACAGCTTCAGCAGTAGTATCACTGCGACCCCAACGAATTTACCTACGTTTCTATCTATAAATTATTTCTGTAGAGTGATATTTGTGGCCATGACAGCAGTTTACAAATTTATTTTTCGACAAATTTTCCTCTCTCCCCACACTCTAGCGATGATGTCACGCACTCTAGCGTGTTGAACATTCTCGCAATACACACCCATTCATTTTTTGGACCGGTTTTTGGCGATTTATCGGCAAACCGTTTGGCGAAATTCTTAGAAAAGTCATAGCACTAATGTCCTCGTCCGAGCCGCACGTTTTGATACCTTTTTTGTGTATGTGCGACAAAAGCTGCGGGAGAAGAAGCGCGCCGAAAAACGTACGGAAGAATAATAATAAGTTTAACTAGAAAATTCCTAAAGCAATTTTGATTGTGCCTTGCTCTGGCCCATATGTTAATACCATGTCATTCTCTTTAGCTAGGGCTAACACATAAACACATTAACAGGTAGCACTTAGCTATTTAACCGCTAATCGCTAGCTACGTGCTAATCGCTAACCGCTAATCGCTAGCTAAGCGCTAATCGCTAGCTAAGTTCTAACCGCTAATTGGTAGCTAAGTGCTAGCTTTGGTTAATGTGTTTAATTGTATTATGCTCCTGAAGGAGTGCTAATGTAAATTAAGGAACAGCTCATAGTAGGGTAAAATATTTAAGGTGTATTGTTCTTATTTTGTGTTAATATTAAAATCATTCAGCTTTAAATTGTTTGTTTGTTAGCCACCTGCTAATTATCTTTAGCTAGCCAGCTAGCGCTAGATTATTAATGCCATGTAATCCTCCCTATAGCATATTGATAACCTGTCATCCTCCTTAGCTAGCGCTAGCATATTAATATCATGTCATTCTCTTTAGCTAGCTAGCTAAAGCTAGCACATATAAACACATAAACCAAAGGTAGTGCTTAGCTACGTGCTAATCGCTAGCTACCCGCTAATCGCTAGCTACATGCTAATCGCTAGCTAACCGCTAATCGCTAGCTATATGCTAATCGCTAGCTAAGCGCTAATCGCTAGCTAAGTGCTAGCTTTGGTTAATGTGTTTAATTGTATTATGCTCCTGAAGGAGTGCTAATGTAAATTAAGGAACAGCTCATAGTAGGGTAAAATATTTAAGGTGTATTGTTCTTATTTTGTGTTAATATTAAAATCATTCAGCTTTAAATTGTTTGCTTGTTAGCCACCTGCTAATTATCTTTAGCTAGCCAGCTAGCGCTAGCTTATTAATGCCTTGTCATTCTCTGTAGCTAGCTGTGTGTGTGTGTGTGTGTGTGAGCAGGCTTTGGTTGTCATGGCAATCAGGGGAGCCCACAGCAGCTGCGCACGCTCTCTCTGTCTCTAACTCCTCAGAGAGACAGAAAACAATTAAAACGAATCCCCTCAAAAGCATGGCCAGGAACGACCGAAATGAAAACCGAAAAGACCGTGAGCGTCGTCATCTTGTTGACTATAGCACTGCCGAGTTTCAGTGGTTAAAGTTAAAAAATGTGACCTGGGGAGATTGAGAGAGAAGAGGTTCAACGAGCGTTTTTCAAGATTTGTCCTCTAAAATTAACATGGGAGTAGATGGGGCCGTGAGAGGGTGTTGCTGGCGCATCAGTGCGTCTCCCGCCAAAACTATTTGTCTGACAGCTTCAGCAGTAGTATCACTGCGACCCCAACGGATTTACCTACGTTTCTATCTATAAATTATTTCGGTAGAGTGAAATTTGTGGCCATGACAGCAGTTTACAAATTTATTTTTCGACAAATTTTTCCCTTCTCCCCACACTCTAGCGATGATGTCACGCACTCTGGCAGTTTTTTTCAGTTGGAGGTTCTCGCAATACACACCCATTCATTTTTTTGACCGGTTTTTGGCGATTTACCGGCAAACCGTTTGGCGAAATTCTTAGAAAAGTCATAGCACTCGATTCCCGGCCGAGCCGCACGTTTTGATACCTTTTTTGTGTATGTGCGACAAAAGCTCCGGGAGGAGTAGCGCGCCGAAAAACGTACGGAAGAATAAAATATAACTAGAAAATTCCTAAAGCAATTTTGATTGTGCCTTGCTCTGGCCCATATGTTAATACCATGTCATTCTCTTTAGCTAGAGCTAACACACATAAACACATTAACCAAAGGTAGCACTTAGCTATGTGCTAATCGCTAGCTAACCGCTAATCGCTATCTTAGCGCTAATCGCTAGCTATGTGCTAATCGCTAGCTTAGTGCTAATCGCTAGCCGTGCGCTAATCGCTAGCTAAGCGCTAATCGCTAGCTACGTGCTAATCGCTAGCTAAGCTCTAATCACTAGCTAAGTGCTAGCTTTGGTTAATGTGTTTAATTGTATTATGCTCCTGAAGGAGTGCTAATGTAAAATAAGTAACAGCTCATAGTAGGGTAAAATATTTAAGGTGTATTGTTCTTATTTTGTGTTAATATTAAAATCATTCAGCTTTAAATTGTTTGTTTGTTTGCCGCCTTCTAATTATCTTTAGCTAGCCAGCTAGCGCTAGATTATTAATGCCATGTAATCCTCCCTATAGCATATTGATAACCTGTCATCCTCCTTAGCTAGCGCTAGCATATTAATATCATGTCATTCTCTTTAGCTAGCTAGCTAAAGCTAGCACATATAAACACATAAACCAAAGCTAGCGCTTAGCTACGTGCTAATCGCTAGCTACTGCTAATCGCTAGCACTAATCGCTACTACATGCAATCGCTAGCTAAGTGCTAGCTTTGGCTAATGTGCTTTGGTTAATGTGTTTAATTGTATTATGCTCCTGAAGGAGTGCTAATGTAAATTAAGGAACAGCTCAGAGTAGGGTAAAATATTTAAGGTGTATTGAACTTATTTTGTATTAATATTAAAATCATTCAGCTTTAAATTGTTTGCTATTTAGCCGCCTGCTAATTATCTTTAGCTAGCCAGCTAGCGCTAGCTTATTAATGTCTTGTCATTCTCTGTAGCTAGCTGTGTGTGTGTGTGTGTGTGTGTGTGAGCAGGCTTTGGTTGTCATGGCAATCAGGGGAGCCCACAGCAGCTGCGCACGCTCTCTCTCTGTCTCTAACTCCTCAGAGAGACAGAAAACATTTAAAATGAATCCCCTCAAAAGCATGGCCAGGAACGACCGAAATGAAAACCGAAAACACCGTGAGCGTCGTCATCTTGTTGACTATAGCGCTGCCGAGTTTCAGTGGTTAAAGTTAAAAAATGTGACCTGGGGAGATTGAGAGAGAAGAGGTTCAACGAGCGTGTTTCAAGAATCCTCCTCTCCATTTTAACATGGGAGTAGATGGGGCCATGAGAGGGAGTTGCTGGCGCATCAGTGCGTCTCCCGCCAAAACTATTTGTCTGACAGCTTCAGCAGTAGTATCACTGCGACCCCAACGAATTTACCTACGTTTCTATCTATAAATTATTTCTGTAGAGTGAAATTTGTGGCCATGACAGCAGTTTACAAATTTATTTTTCGACAAATTTTTCTCTCTCCCCACACTCTAGCGATGATGTCACGCACTCTGGCAGTTTTTTTCAGTTGGAGGTTCTCGCAATACACACCCATTCATTTTTTGGACCGGTTTTCGGCGATTTACCGGCAAACCGTTTGGCGGAATTCTTAGAAAAGTCATAGCACTCGATTCCCGGTCGAGCCGCACGTTTTGATACCTTTTTTGTGTATGTGCGACAAAAGCTGCGGGAGGAGTAGCGCGCCGAAAAACGTACGGAAGAATAAAATATAATAAGTATGAGGGATAGTAGTATTGTGCTTGCTTATGCAAGGCACAATAACTAGAAAATTCCTAAAGCAATTTTGATTGTGCCTTGCTCTGGCCCATATGTTAATACCATGTCTACGTGCTAACCGCTAATCGCTAGCTGTGCGCTAATTACCTTTTATTAATGTCATGTAATCCTCCCTATAGCATATTGATAACCTGTCATCCTCCTTAGCTAGTGCTAGCATATTAATATCATGTCATTCTCTTTAGCTAGCTAGCTAGAGCTAGCACACATAAACACATAAACCAAAGCTAGCGCTTAGCTACGTGCTAATCGCTAGCTAACTGCTAATCGCTAGCTAACTGCTAATCGCTAGCTACGTGCTAATCGCTAGCTAACTGCTAATCGCTAGCTACATGCTAATCGCTAGCTAAGCGCTAATCGCTAGCTAAGTGCTAATCGCTAGCTAAGCGCTAATCGCTAGCTAAGTGCTAGCTTTGGTTAATGTGTTTAATTGTATTATGCTCCTGAAGGAGTGCTAATGTAAATTAAGGAACAGCTCATAGTAGGGTAAAATATTTAAGGTGTATTGAACTTATTTTGTGTTAATATTAAAATCATTCAGCTTTAAATTGTTTGTTTGTTAGCCGCCTGCTAATTATCTTTAGCTAGCCAGCTAGCGCTAGCTTATTAATAGCTTGAATCATTCTCTGAAGCTAGCTGTGTGTGTGTGTGTGTGTGTGTGTGTGTGTGTGTGTGTGGAGAGCAGGCTTTGGTTGTCATGGCAATCAGGGGAGCCCACAGCAGCTGCGCGCGCTCTCTCTCTGTCTCTAACTCCTCAGAGAGACAGAAAACAATTAAAATGAATCCCCTCAAAAGCATGGCCAGGAACGACCGAAATGAAAACCGAAAAGACCGTGAGCGTCGTCATCTTGTTGACTATAGCGCTGCCGAGTTTCAGTGGTTAAAGTTAAAAAATGTGACCTGGGGAGATTGAGAGAGAAGAGGTTCAACGAGCGTTTTTCAAGAATCCTCCTCTCCATTTTAACATGGGAGTAGATGGGGCCGTGAGAGGGTGTTGCTGGCGCATCAGTGCGTTTCCCGCCAAAACTATTTGTCTGACAGCTTCAGCAGTAGTATCACTGCGACCCCAACGAATTTACCTACGTTTCTATCTATAAATTATTTCGGTAGAGTGAAATTTGTGGCCATGACAGCAGTTTACAAATTTATTTTTCGACAAATTTTTCTCTCTCCCCACACTCTAGCGATGATGTCACGCACTCTGGCAGTTTTTTTCAGTTGGAGGTTCTCGCAATACACACCCATTCATTTTTTGGACCGGGTTTTTGGCGATTTACCGGCGAACCGTTTGGCGAAATTCTTAGAAAAGTCATAGCACTCGATGTCCCGGCCGAGCCGCACGTTTTGATACCTTTCTTGTGTACGTGCGACAAAAGCTCCGGGAGGAGTAGCGCGCCGAAAAACGTACGGAAGAATAAAATATAACTAGAAAATTCCTAAAGCAATTTTGATTGTGCCTTGCTCTGGCCCATATGTTAATACCATGTCTACGTGCTAACCGCTAATCGCTAGCTGTGCGCTAATCGCTAGCTGAGTGCTAACCGCTAATCGCTAGCTAAGTGCTAACCGCTAATCGCTAGCTAAGTGCTAGCTTTGGTTAATGTGTTTAATTGTATTATGCTCCTGAAGGAGTGCTAATGTAAATTAAGGAACAGCTCATAGTAGGGTAAAATATTTAAGGTGTATTGTTCTTATTTTGTGTTAATATTAAAATCATTCAGCTTTAAATTGTTTGCTTGTTAGCCACCTGCTAATTATCTTTAGCTAGCCAGCTAGCGCTAGATTATTAATGCCATGTAATCCTCCCTATAGCATATTGATAACCTGTCATCCTCCTTAGCTAGCGCTAGCATATTAATATCATGTCATTCTCTTTAGCTAGCTAGCTAGAGCTAGCACACATAAACACATAAACCAAAGCTAGCGCTTAGCTACGTGCTAATCGCTAGCTAACCGCTAATCGCTAGCTACATGCTAATCACTAGCTAACCGCTAATCGCTAGCTAAGTGCTAGCTGTGGTTAATGTGTTTAATTGTATTATGCTCCTGAAGGAGTGCTAATGTAAATTAAGGAACAGCTCATAGTAGGGTAAAATATTTAAGGTGTATTGTTCTTATTTTGTGTTAATATTAAAATCATTCAGCTTTAAATTGTTTGCTTGTTAGCCACCTGCTAATTGTCCTTAGCTAGCCAGCTAGCGCTAGCTTATTAATGCCTTGTCATTCTCTGTAGCTAGCTGTGTGTGTGTGTGTGTGTGTGTGTGTGTGTGTGAGCAGGCTTTAGTTGTCATGGCAATCAGGGGAGCCCACAGCAGCTGCGCGCGCTCTCTCTCTGTCTCTAACTCTTGAGAGAGACAGAAAACAATTAAAACGAATCCCCTCAAAAGCATGGCCAGGAACGACCGAAATGAAAACCGAAAACACCGTGGGCGTCGTCATCTTGTTGACTATAGCGTTGCCGAGTTTCAGTGGCTAAAGTTAAAAAATGTGACCTGGGGAGATTGAGAGAGAAGAGGTTCAACGAGCGTTTTTCAAGATTCCTCCTCTAAAATTAACATGGGAGTAGATGGGGCCGTGAGAGGGCGTTGCTGGCGCATCAGTGCGTTTCCCGCCAAAACTATTTGTCTGACAGCTTCAGCAGTAGTATCACTGCGACCCCAACGAATTTACCTACGTTTCTATCTATAAATTATTTCTGTAGAGTGAAATTTGTGGCCATGACAGCAGTTTACAAATTTATTTTTCGACAAATTTTTCTCTCTCCCCACACTCTAGCGATGATGTCACGCACTCTGGCGGTTTTTTTCAGTTGGAGGTTCTCGCAATACACACCCATTCATTTTTTGGACCGGTTTTTGGCGATTTACCGGCAAACCGTTTGGCGAAATTCTTAGAAAAGTCATAGCACACCATTCCCGGCCGAGCCGCACGTTTTGATACCTTATTTGTGTATGTGCGACAAAAGCTGCGGGAGAAGAAGCGCGCCGAAAAACGTACGGAAGAATAATAATAATAAGTATGGGGAAGAGTAGTATTGTGCTTGCTTATGCAAGGCACAATAACTAGAAAATTCCTAAAGAAATTTTGATTGTGCCTTGCTCTGGCCCATATGTTAATACCATGTCTACGTGCTAACCGCTATTTAACCGCTAATCGCTAGCTAACCGCTAATCGCTAGCTACATGCTAATCACTAGCTAAGCGCTAATCGCTAGCTAAGTGCTAGCTTTGGTTAATGTGTTTAATTGTATTATGCTCCTGAAGGAGTGCTAATGTAAATTAAGGAACAGCTCATAGTAGGGTAAAATATTTAAGGTGTATTGTTCTTATTTTGTGTTAATATTAAAATCATTCAGCTTTAAATTGTTTGTTTGTTAGCCACCTGCTAATTATCTTTAGCTAGTCAGCTAGCGCTAGATTATTAATGCCATGTAATCCTCCCTATAGCATATTGATAACCTGTCATCCTCCTTAGCTAGCGCTAGCATATTAATATCATGTCATTCTCTTTAGCTAGCTAGCTAGAGCTAGCACACATAAACACATAAACCAAAGGTAGCGCTTAGCTACGTGCTAATCGCTAGCTAACCGCTAATCGCTAGCTACATGCTAATCACTAGCTAACCGCTAATCGCTAGCTAAGTGCTAGCTGTTTGGTTAATGTGTTTAATTGTATTATGCTCCTGAAGGAGTGCTAATGTAAATTAAGGAACAGCTCATAGTAGGGTAAAATATTTAAGGTGTATTGAACTTATTTTGTGTTAATATTAAAATCATTCAGCTTTAAATTGTTTGCTTGTTAGCCACCTGCTAATTGTCCTTAGCTAGCCAGCTAGCGCTAGCTTATTAATGCCTTGTCATTCTCTGTAGCTAGCTGTGTGTGTGTGTGTGTGTGTGTGTGTGTGTGTGAGCAGGCTTTAGTTGTCATGGCAATCAGGGGAGCCCACAGCAGCTGCGCGCGCTCTCTCTCTGTCTCTAACTCTTGAGAGAGACAGAAAACAATTAAAACGAATCCCCCTCAAAAGCATGGCCAGGAACGACCGAAATGAAAACCGAAAACACCGTGGGCGTCGTCATCTTGTTGACTATAGCGTTGCCGAGTTTCAGTGGCTAAAGTTAAAAAATGTGACCTGGGGAGATTGAGAGAGAAGAGGTTCAACGAGCGTTTTTCAGGATTCCTCCTCTAAAATTAACATGGGAGTAGATGGGGCCGTGAGAGGGCGTTGCTGGCGCATCAGTGCGTTTCCCGCCAAAACTATTTGTCTGAAAGCTTCAGCAGTAGTATCACTGCGACCCCAACGAATTTACCTACGTTTCTATCTATAAATTATTTCTGTAGAGTGAAATTTGTGGCCATGACAGCAGTTTACAAATTTATTTTTCGACAAATTTTTCTCTCTCCCCACACTCTAGCGATGATGTCACGCACTCTGGCGGTTTTTTTCAGTTGGAGGTTCTCGCAATACACACCCATTCATTTTTTGGACCGGTTTTTGGCGATTTACCGGCAAACCGTTTGGCGAAATTCTTAGAAAAGTCATAGCACACCATTCCCGGCCGAGCCGCACGTTTTGATACCTTATTTGTGTATGTGCGACAAAAGCTGCGGGAGAAGAAGCGCGCCGAAAAACGTACGGAAGAATAATAATAATAAGTATGGGGAAGAGTAGTATTGTGCTTGCTTATGCAAGGCACAATAATAAGTATGAGGGATAGTAGTATTGTGCTTGCTTATGCAAGGCACAATAATAAGCCCGAGGGAGAGTAGTATTGTGCTTGCTTATGCAAGGCACAATAACTAGAAAATTCCTAAAGCAATTTTGATTGTGCCTTGCTCTGGCCCATATGTTAATACCATGTCTACGTGCTAACCGCTAATCGCTAGCTGTGCGCTAATTACCTTTTATTAATGCCATGTAATCCTCCCTATAGCATATTGATAACCTGTCATCCTCCTTAGCTAGTGCTAGCATATTAATATCATGTCATTCTCTTTAGCTAGCTAGCTAGAGCTAGCACACATAAACACATAAACCAAAGCTAGCGCTTAGCTACGTGCTAATCGCTAGCTACACCGCTACAGCTACGTGCTAATCGCTAGCTAACCGCTAATCGCTAGCTACGTGCTAATCGCTAGCTAACTGCTAATCGCTAGCTACATGATAATTGCTAGCTACATGCTAATCGCTAGCTAAGCGCTAATCGCTAGCTAAGTGCTAGCTTTGGTTAATGTGTTTAATTGTATTATGCTCCTGAAGGAGTGCTAATGTAAATTAAGGAACAGCTCATAGTAGGGTAAAATATTTAAGGTGTATTGTTCTTATTTTGTGTTAATATTAAAAATCATTCAGCTTTAAATTGTTTGTTTGTTAGCCACCTGCTAATTATCTTTAGCTAGCCAGCTAGCTAGCTTATTAATGTCTTGTCATTCTCTGTAGCTAGCTGTGTGTGTGTGTGTGTGTGTGTGTGTGTGTGTGTGTGAGCAGGCTTTGGTTGTCATGGCAATCAGGGGAGCCCACAGCAGCTGCGCGCGCTCTCTCTCTGTCTCTAACTCCTCAGAGAGACAGAAAACAATTAAAACGAATCCCCTCAAAAGCATGGCCAGGAACGACCGAAATGAAAACCGAAAACACCGTGGGCGTCGTCATCTTGTTGACTATAGCGCTGCCAAGTTTCAGTGGCTAAAGTTAAAAAATGTGACCTGGGGAGATTGAGAGAGAAGAGGTTCAACGAGCTCCTTTCAAGATTTATCCTCTAAAATTAACATGGGAGTAGATGGGGCCGTGAGAGGGCGTTGCTGGCGCATCAGTGCGTCTCCCGCCAAAACTATTTGTCTGACAGCTTCAGCAGTAGTATCACTGCGACCCCAACGAATTTACCTACGTTTCTATCTATAAATTATTTCTGTAGAGTGAAATTTGTGGCCGTGACAGCAGTTTACAAATTTATTTTTCGACAAATTTTTTCTCTCTCCCCACACTCTAGCGATGATGTCACGCACTCTGGCAGTTTTTTTCGGTTGGAGGTTCTCGCAATACACACCCATTCATTTTTTGGACCGGTTTTTGGCGATTTATCGGCAAACCATTTGGCGAAATTCTTAGAAAAGTCATAGCACTCGATTCCCGGCCGAGCCGCACGTTTTGATACCTTTTTTGTGTATGTGCGACAAAAGCTGCGGGAGGAGTAGCGCGCCCGAAAAAGCGTACGGAAGAATAATAAGTTTAACTAGAAAATTCCTAAAGCAATTTTGATTGTGCCTTGCTCTGGCCCATATGTTAATACCATGTCTACGTGCTAACCGCTAATCGCTAGCTGTGCGCTAATTACCTTTTATTAATGCCATGTAATCCTCCCTATAGCATATTGATAACCTGTCATCCTCCTTAGCTAGTGCTAGCATATTAATATCATGTCATTCTCTTTAGCTAGCTAGCTAGAGCTAGCACACATAAACACATAAACCAAAGCTAGCGCTTAGCTACGTGCTAATCGCTAGCTAACTGCTAATCGCTAGCTACGTGCTAATCGCTAGCTAACTGCTAATCGCTAGCTACGTGCTAATCGCTAGCTAACTGCTAATCGCTAGCTACATGCTAATCGCTAGCTACATGCTAATCGCTAGCTAAGCGCTAATCGCTAGCTAAGTGCTAGCTCTGGTTAATGTGTTTAATTGTATTATGCTCCTGAAGGAGTGCTAATGTAAATTAAGGAACAGCTCATAGTAGGGTAAAATATTTAAGGTGTATTGTTCTTATTTTGTGTTAATATTAAAATCATTCAGCTTTAAATTGTTTGCTTGTTAGCCACCTGCTAATTATCTTTAGCTAGGTAGCTACCTAGCTTATTAATGTCTTGTCATTCTCTGTAGCTAGCTATGTGTGTGTGTGTGTGTGTGTGTGTGTGTGTGAGCAGGCTTTAGTTGTCATGGCAATCAGGGGAGCCCACAGCAGCTGCTGCACGCTCTCTCTGTCTCTAACTCCTCAGAGAGACAGAAACATTTAAAATGAATCCCCTCAAAAGCATGGCCAGGAACGACCGAAATGAAAACCGAAAAGACCGTGAGCGTCGTCATCTTGTTGACTATAGCAGTGCCGAGTTTCAGTGGTTAAAGTAAAAAAATGTGACCTGGGGAGATTGAGAGAGAAAAGGTTCAACGAGCGTGTTTCAAGAATCCTCCTCTCCTTTTTAATATGGGAGTAGATGGGGCCGTGAGAGGGCGTTGCTGGCGCATCAGTGCGTCTCCCGCCAGAACTATTTGTCTGACAGCTTCAGCAGTAGTATCACTGCGACCCCAACGGATTTATCTACGTTTCTATCTATAAATTATTTCGGTAGAGTGAAATTTGTGGCCATGACAGCAGTTTACAAATTTTTTTTTCGACAAATTTTTCTCTCTCCCCACACTCTAGCGATGACATCACGCACTCTGGCAGTTTTTTTCAGTTGGAGGTTCTCGCAATACACACCCATTCATTTTTTGGACCGGTTTTTGGCGATTTATCGGAAAACCGATTGGCGAAATTCTTAGAAAAGTCATAGCACTCGATTCCCGGCCGAGCCGCACGTTTTGATACCTTTTTTGTGTACGTGCGACAAAAGCTCCGGGAGAAGAAGCGCGCCGAAAAACGTACGGAAGAATAAAATATTATAATAAGCCCGAGGGATAGTAGTATTGTGCTTGCTTTGCAAGGCACAATAATAAGCCCGAGGGATAGTAGTATTGTGCTTGCTTATGCAAGGCACAATAACTAGAAAATTCCTAAAGCAATTTTGATTGTGCCTTGCTCTGGCCCATATGTTAATACCATGTCTTGCTCTCTAGCACGCTAGCGCTAGCATATTAATGCCATGTAATCCTCCTTATAGCATATTGATAACCTGTCATCCTCCTTAGCTAGCGCTAGCATATTAATATCATGTCATTCTCTTTAGCTAGTTAGCTAGAGCCAGCACACATAAACACATTAACCAAAGCTAGCGCTTAGCTACGTGCTAATCACTAGCTATGTGCTAATCGCTAGCTAACCGCTAATCGCTAGCTAAGCGCTAATTGCTAGCTATGCGCTAATCGCTAGCTAAGTGCTAGCTTTGGTTAATGTGTTTAATTGTATTATGCTCCTGAAGGAGTGCTAATATAAATTAAGGAACAGCTCATAGTAGGGTAAAATATTTAAGGTGTATTGAACTTATTTTGTGTTAATATTAAAATCATTCAGCTTTAAATTGTTTGCTTGTTAGCCACCTGCTAATTATCTTTAGCTAGCCAGCTAGCGCTAGATTATTAATGCCATGTAATCCTCCCTATAGCATATTGATAACCTGTCATCCTCCTTAGCTAGCGCTAGCATATTAATATCATGTCATTCTCTTTAGCTAGCTAGCTAGAGCTAGCACACATAAACACATAAACCAAAGCTAGCGCTTAGCTACGTGCTAATCGCTAGCTAACCGCTAATCGCTAGCTACGTGCTAATCGCTAGCTGAGCGCTAATCGCTAGCTAAGTGCTAGCTTTGGTTAATGTGTTTAATTGTATTTTGCTCCTGAAGGAGTGCTAATGTAAATTAAGGAACAGCTCATAGTAGGGTAAAATATTTAAGGTGTATTGAACTTATTTTGTGTTAATATTAAAATCATTCAGCTTTAAATTGTTTGTTTGTTAGCCACCTGCTAATTATCTTTAGCTAGCCAGCTAGCTAGCTTATTAATGCCTTGTCATTCTCTGTAGCTAGCTGTGTGTGTGTGTGTGTGTGTGTGTGTGTGTGTGTGTGTGGTGAGCAGGCTTTGGTTGTCATGGCAATCAGGGGGAGCCCACAGCAGCTGCGCATGCTCTCTCTCTGTCTCTAACTCCTCAGAGAGACAGAAAACAATTAAAATGAATCCCCTCGAACGCATGGCCAGGAACGACCGAAATGAAAACCGAAAACACCGTGAGCGTCGTCATCTTGTTGACTATAGCGCTGCCGAGTTTCAGTGGCTAAAGTTAAAAAATGTGACCTGGGGAGATTGAGAGAGAAGAGGTTCAACGAGCGTTTTCAAGATTCCTCCTCACCATTTTAATATGGGAGTAGATGGGGCCGTGAGAGGGAGTTGCTGGCGCATCAGTGCGTTTCCCGCCAAAACTATTTGTCTGACAGCTTCAGCAGTGGTATCACTGCGACCCCAACGGATTTACCTACGTTTCTATCTATAAATTATTTCTGTAGAGTGAAATTTGTGGCCATGACAGCAGTTTACAAATTTATTTTTAGACAAATTTTTCTCTCTCCCCACACTCTAGCGATGATGTCACACACTCTGGCAGTTTTTTTCAGTTGGAGGTTCTCGCAATACACACCCATTCATTTTTTGGACCGGTTTTCGGCGATTTACCGGCAAACCGTTTGGCGAAATTCTTAGAAAAGTCATAGCACTAATGTCCTCAACGAGCCGCACGTTTTGATACCTTTTTTGTGTATGTGCGACAAAAGCTCTGGGAGAAGAAGCGCGCCGAAAAACGTACGGAAGAATAATAATAAGTTTAATAATAATAAGCACGAGGGAGAGTAGTATTGTGCTTGCTTATGCAAGGCACAATAATAAGCCCGAGGAAGAGTAGTATTGTGCTTGCTTATGCAAGGCACAATAATAATAATAGTTCAATATCTGCTGGATGTGTAAATCTGTGACTTCTTCCATGTTCCCCCTGCCTCCAGTCTTTGTGCTAAGCTACAGTGAGATAATCACATCCTGGATCTATCTCTGCACTCGCACACTGAGATGAAAGCGATATTGATTTTTTTTTTTTTTTTTTTTGACCGTCTGTGTGACAGGAAAAAAGTGAATTTCACAAAATGTCATTTTTGTTCCTTTCACGTGTTGTTTCTGTTTCTTAAGGGAAGCAACAGGCGAGGAGCTTCTGCTAGTTAGCACTCAGAGTTGAGTTCAGCGTGTCTGTGTTCCGAGGGATGGTCTGGTTGAGCTGAAAAGTGGTTTGGGAGATACAGAGCTGGATCTGCAGGGGCTGTTAAGTTTGCGAGTTGGTGTGCGCGCGCGAGTGTGTGTGTGTGTGTGGTGTGTGTCAGTGAGCAGAATGGGCTGCCATAGGCCTGACAGGATGACAGCTGTCACCAAGGAAATAGAGAGAGGAGGAGGAGAGAGGAGAGACACTGCCTCAAGGGAACACACACACTCTCTCAGACAAGGCCTAGAAGTTGTGTGTGTGTGTGTGTCTGTGTGTATTTTAGCATGTTTGTGTGTGCAGCCATGTTTGTTTGTGAGCCAGAGAATAGCTGCAATGTGAGTATAATTGGTTTGTGTTTCAATAATGTACACACTTATCTTCACATCAGCAATTACAGTATATGTGTTGAAAAGGAACAAAGGGACAGTGTTGGTATGTGTTTACAAGGCGTGCGTGTGCGTGTGTGTGTGTGTGTGTGTGTGTGTGTGTGTGTGTGTGTGTGTGTGCACGCGCACTTGCTTCCCCCTGTGTACATGTTTGTGTTCTATGTATTGAGTTTGGTCTGCTTCATTAGTTTATATTGTAAAATCGATGTTGCCCATTGTGGTGCGACCTGCCTCTGTTCTTATACTCGGCAATACGCTGGTGTGTGTGTGTGTGTGTGTGTGTGTGCCCAGTAATAGTGACCCTGGGGAGAGTGTCTGACACGGGGGGAGGAGCCCCCTAAGTGACCTGGAAAGCAGACCCATCCATCAACTCTTTCTCCTCTCAATCCTTTCATTCCCTCTCTGTTGTCTTTTTTCTCTTCTCTATAGGGCTATTACAGCAATCACTGCTCTTAAAGCTGTAGCGAGGACCTCTGTGTGTTTGACTGTGTGTGTGTGTGTGTGTGTTTGTGTGCCGTTTCTGGTATGCCTCTTCCCCCCCATCGGAGCAGCGTGAGGTTATGTGTATTTAACCCGGGCTAGCATGGCCCCGCTAAGCCTAATGGTCTCAGTGAGATGGAGAGGAGAGTGAGGCGGGGTGAAAGAGGGGAGGACAGGAGACTGAAGACGGGAGATGAGTGGATGCCTTTTGAGCCAGACTAGATTTCGTATGCTCCAAAATTCTGATTAAAAGTAAGGCTGCCACTAATCATTATTCCATTATTGATTAATAGGAATGCCACTGTTTCTCTCCACATACTGAATCCAATACCTAAACCTAGAGTTTTTAGGAGTGCCTGATTTAAAAGCAGTGCCCCTTTTCTTTTCTTTCAGTGTGAAATCTGTATACCTCACCGTGTGAAACTGATTGAGTTCATTTTATGCATCAGATAACACATCACTCCTTAAAGTGGTCTGTTCCCCTTCTGAGCGAACTGGTGGGTGTGGTCAGATGTGTGCTCTGTTGCACCTGGCATGCTACAGTGATGTCATGGTGTACTGACACACCCTGAAGTACACTTCTACATCACTGAAGCAACATAAACTACTGGAGGTTATACAAAACAAGGTTTTTAGCTGCTGTCGAGTTAGTTATTGTGAGCTCAGTGCGTACTAAGGGGAACTCCACCGATTTTACTCATCAAGGTCCGTTTGTAGGCCTTGGGGAGTCATACTGCATATACAAAGCCTTTTGTGGCTTTAGACTGATGTCATTTGAGGCAACGTCTGTTGGAGCTGAATACTATGACTAAGTTTGAAAATTAAAAATATCTGTTGGTGTGGAGCTAGAGAGAGCTCGTCATCTCTGCTTGAGTCTCGCAATTTGAGGCTACATTAGCAGCTGTTAGCATTAAACACATCAACCAACTGACAGGTTTCATCGTGGGTAATGTAGGCCCCAGGTTTTAAGACCTGACCGCTTGACAGGCCTTCCGTTACAGACTAGTTACAGCTAAGCTATGACTGGACAGTTGTTTTTTGGGATGAGCAAATGGTTAACTGTGTTGTCGTTGCAATATCAAATCTATAATTTACCCATAAACAATTTAAAATAGTGAAACTTGCTTATAACAAGTACTTTAATAGTCCAAACACCAACATATTACATTAACATTGATAGTCAAACTGAAAAAGAAGCAAATGATCACATTTAAGCAGCTGTAACTATTGACCGTTTTTCATTTTTGCTTCACAAATGACTTAAAAAAGGTTCATTAACTGTCACAAATGTAGATTTATTTTCTGTCAATTCACTAATTATTTCTTATTAAAAGGGAAAATCCACTGAAATAGTGAACATGCAGGATGTCTGTGCATCCAGTCCTGTGCAGTTCAGGTGTAATATGTGTTTCTCCATAAATAAACCACCAGAGAGACAGAGTGTAGAGACGATGTTATCTAGAGACAAATCCTGGAGCTGCTCTGTAGACAGTGAATAATGGAACGACTCCCAGGACAATGTGACAGCAGCCGGGATGATTTTACCAGGATATGAGGACATTTTCTCATTCACAGCTGGAAGTCATACATTCAAATAAAACTCATTTGGACGGGATACCTGGAGCAGAAAGTCTTTGAGCTCAGGCATTCAGTCACTAATTCAATACCAGTGCAATGGCCTCCAAAAAGTGTCACATCACATATCACAGTAATTCAAAACTTGACGCTCGGATTTGTAGCTTAGGGAGGCGGCTGACTGTGATTGTCGATATTGAATTTGCCGTCCAAAATCACTGGAATGATCACTGGACTATGCTATGGCGCGTATGCGGCGCGATGTGCAGTACGTGGAGTGAATTTTCACGTTGCTTTATTTGACCTCTGACCGGCTCTCGACGGTAACTGCGATCATCTAGCGGCTTTAAGAAAAAGAAACGAAGAACTGTAGATCAGCAACAGACAGATATGCTACTGTATATTATCGTCTTCTTCCGCCGGTGACAAATGTTAGTTTGTTTGGTGAAATAATGAATGTCTGCAACCTCCAGCCTTTCTCAAATAGGATAAAATAGAGGAAACGTAAATCATGGTTAGGTGTCACGGCGCTCTATTCTGCTGCTGTGCTTAGGAGCAGGGGGTCTAATATTCTTTTTGAGCTGCTCAAATCATAGAAATTATTTATACACTGGGCTGATATTGGCCCTTTTAGTATTGTCCACCCCTGATGGGAGTTTTATTGACTGCATATTTACTGTTTTCTCTCTGAGGAAACACCACAATGTACTGTTAGTCGGCTCTAATCACAGTCTGATTAGATTTCCACAAATAAATGTTGGTTTAAAAAAAAAAAAAGCAGCCCAAAGCCCTCATCTGTCTAGCTGTATTGTGAACCTGCGAGGCGGGGTCAAATAATGCGAGCTGCCCAGCTACAGTATCTAGCTGGGGAAGGTACCAATCAACATCAGGATCACGTTTCATTCACCCAGTGCATTCTATCTTGCGAGGAGGTGTGTGTGTGGCTCCGGAGTGGCAGGGGTTAAAAAGAGATAATTAATCAGGGGGCTTGCGGTGTGTGGGTGTCAGTGTTTGTGTGTGTGTGCGCGCACATGTATCTGTGTGTGTGAGCAGGGTGAATGGGGGTCTGGCATCCAAGCGGCAAGGTAATGAGTGGAGCCACAGTGTGTGTGGACCTCTAGCCTCTGCAGTGGAGAGGAGGGGGGCATGAGTGGAATACAGAGAGACGCTGTTTCTCCCGCTGATGGCTCTGTTGGTTATGGATGAAACAGCCCCAGCCTCTTTTTAGAGGCAGGCCAGCAATGCACTATGGGAAGCTGAGTTAATTCTCTCATCAGCATAAAGGACGGAGCATTGATTTGATGTGTATCATCACAAAGGACAAGGTTTCTTTGCCTCTAAAAGGTGAAAGGGGGATTAGATGTTTATATCTATGGCATGAGAAAATACTAACATTTCTGACACTTAATTGAAAGATTTGTTGTAGGATAACTGAGCTCTTTTTTCATCATAAAAATGGAAGCACAAAATGTTGCCTTGTCTTGGCTTTGCCAGGCGTTACAGCAGGACAGGCTGTGGTAGCAGTGATACTTTTGCTTGAGGTCATTAAATATGAATATCAGCAAAAACTGGGCAGCAATTGAAAGCTCCTGTTTTGGTTTGCTGTGATCAATAATGTGTTTGTAAAACTTCTGGTTAAAAAAAGGGTGGCTGTAGATTGGCATAGCTTAGCATCTTAGCGACACATTTGTTGGTCGCCCATGGCTGTGACACCATTATATACTGTGTACAACAATAACATCATCAATGTGTACATATATACAGATATATGAACATCCTGAAATGTAAGAAAAAACATGGAAAACTTGGAGTAGGCACATAGCTTTGAAATAAATGACATGAGAACACATGAACAAATGAACCTGCAACTGACGTTTTTTATTTCAGACTCAAATTCTTGAATAATATTTAATGAACAGTAAAATACTTTGTTAGGCTCTGTTAACACTTCTGCTGTTTTCAGTCCGTCCAATCCTCGAACCCATCAGTTTGCAGCAGCTAGCAACAGGTGTCTGTGACAATACGCTATGTAAATGCAATAAGCTGTGTTCGAGTGTGTAGAGAATGTGAATGACGGACTAAGACTACATTCATGGCGTAACTTCTTCCATAAAGCTCTTGAAACCACAATGCAGCCGTGCTTCTTTGCTGTTAGCACTAGCATTTGTGCTGTAAAATGTCAGGACTAGTGGCTGCTCATTCTTTTCTGTTCAAGAATGCTGCTGTGTTTTTATTTGACTTCGTCT